AGAGAGAGAGAGAGAGAGAGCGAAACCAATCAGGTTGATAAACAGTCAAAAAAATTATATGCAAATGCAGAGTTAGAGTCGAATGTCATGTACATGAGTGTACATGTGCTAGAACAAATTCAGCCCAACAGAATGACAAACTATCATCGATTAAAACGATGCTTAGCGGATAATACTTTCACTTTTTACGATTAAAATGAAGTTGCTTAACTATGATTAAAGTTTACATGTTTGAAGTAGTTTTCAGATTGGGGATAATTTCTTCAAGCTATCGCATAAAGCATGTAACAAAACTGTGAATTAACTAATGTCGAATAAGTTCGCCTGGAGGGAAGGCAAGGGAGAATATAGGAACTGGAAAAAAAGGGCAAGTTACACTGAAAGTGACAGGGCGATACAGAATTCAGCTAAACGAAGACAGAACTGGCAGGAGTGAATGCAACTGCACGACTGCCATAAGCATGCGACTCCAGCGGGCGTCAGAGGAGGAGTAATTAAGTTCACCCGGTGGGGAAATGCAGAATGTATGAAGGAATCTCAGCTATTAGGTCGCGTGATTTCGTGAACTGACAAGGACAGCGAAGTGCTTGTAAGAGATACAGAGTTTTAGAGGTTTATCAGTTACAACTGGGCTTTGCACGGGCCTTATAGCGAGACTGCCTGCGAGGAATTGACGAGAAGGTTTGCTTTTGACACATGCGAATTGAGGTAAACAAACTTAGCCCTCCCCTCTAATAATAAACTGTAGAGAAGTCAGTAGCAATTGATAACCGAGCGTTTTCCATTAAGATTAATATACTACTGATAATCTAGTTAGTAGTAATTGTCTTTTAACGAGGTATACTAGTTCTGAATGGTGTTTAGACTGAATTGATAACAACTCGAGTCAAGATGACTATAAAACCCCATGGAAGCGCTGATGCCAAGCATACCTCTTATTGTGTTAGAATTGAGTGTTGAAATAGACAATGGAGCGAAATGCAGTGCAAAAACAAGCCTTAATTCAATCACTGTCAATTCAATCCAAGCCAGTAAATATATGCTCCTGAGATTAAAAAAATTATTGTAGAGGATTTGATTTCGTATTCAAGTGCAAGATGAATAGATTAGTAGGTCGACGGCTGATTTCCATTGTACTGCGGCCGTTTAGCTTTGATCTGACGTATAAGGTGACGTAGCCCGCAGGACATGTTCGCTTGTTTCGGGTGAAAAAAGGGTTGAGCTTTCGTTCGTCCAATGACGAACATCATCCGAGCTGGGACTCATTCTTACAAAATTCTCATGTTAACGCTAAGTCAATAAGACTGACTGGCTCTGTCCTAAATGCCATATATACTTATAAGAAAAAAAGATATTAATACATATATAAATGTATGACAATCTGGATAATAAGTCCCATGAGTCATATGATAAACGATAGCTCAGCAAGTTTTCCTTCGAAACGATGGAGGATGTCTCGTCGACTGCATCAACCAGAACGTCGTATTAAAGCCAAACGGCTGCTGTACAACGGGAATCAGTCGTCGTCTTCTGGTGAGATCGACTTTCAAATCTCTTCATCATGCACATTCATTGGAAATGAAAGTTTCCACAACAATCTTATCTCTGGAGAGTAATTAAAGCCCAATTACTCTTCATACCAACAGATTTTTGTTGAATCCGCTTTTCGTTAATGCAGCCTTTGAGTGTAACCTGCATTATTATGCGAAGAAAATTTGGGTTTAGAGCAATTTCTTGCTTCATAATTGTTGAGCTTACTTCCATTTTGAGTGAAAGTGTTTGGTGAGGAGATTCGCAGGTCGATTCCACCAGAAGACGACGGCGGATTCCTCTTGACCAGCTGTCGATTGGCTTAACTGGAACATTCTTGTTGACGCCCCTTCGATTCCGGTGAAAAGATGCCAAGCTTTCGTCCGTCGTATGATGAACATCATCAGAGCAAGGTATCATCGTCACAACCAAATTCAAGCTAACGAGTCAAGAAAACTCACCCTAAAAAGCGGTATATGTACTCTACATCTAACCTCTTTGATCAGGTATAAAGTGATTTTGTTAGTTATGGTCATATTTCAAGCTCGAAGTCTGTGAGTATGTCTGTCTCGAAACTCTAGTTACATACGAAAAATAACCAAATCACTTTATACCTGATAAAAGAGGCCAGATATAGAGTATGTAAGTTCTCTTGACTCGTTAGCTTGAATTTGGTTTTGACGATGATACCTTGCTCTGATGATTTTCGTCATCTGACGGACGAAAGCTTATCTCCTTTTCACCGAAATCGAAGGAGATTACCTCGGAATGTTCCCGTAAAGCCAATCGACAGCTGGTCAAAAGGAATCCGTCGTCGTCTTCTGGTGGTATCTACTTACATTATTATGTATTATAATGGGGAACCTCCTATCTTTATTACTTGGTGCTGGGATTTGAGTCAGTCTGTCCAAGTCATATGTAATGTACACTAGCAAAGTAGGTTGACCGGAGACTTGTGGTCGTATCCTTGTTGTGTGTAGATTGAGGAATTCTCAAATTGTACCAAGTGAAGCAAAACTATAATTGATGCAGAGTTGGTGTCGAAACTGATGCTGGTCTCAGTTCATGAGGATCGCCTGAGATTCACACAGTTTTGGAGTCCAGATACTATTCAACCATTTGGCTGATGGTATTGTTCGTAGGGTAGAATACTATAAAAATAAAGCAGCTTTGATGATACATTCTTTTTACTAGTCCACATAGTCGCGAAAATGCTCCAAACGAAGCACCATCACTATCGTAGCCCATGGCAACGGTAAGAAACAGTTCCAAAACTCGAGTTGAGTCGAAGAGCCTAATTCCTTTTTGTTGGATCACCAGCATTCCTTTTCCGTTTAGATTACAAGCGGAAAAAAGGTTTAGCTTTGTCATATGCAGTGCCAGCATTGTCGGAAATGTGGTCGCAAAAGAGATACCACGGTTATGCTTCCCTCTCTCTTTCACTCTATTTTACTTTTTCCCATTCTCCTTCTATTACTCTTTTAATATCTTCTGCTTTCCCTCTGTTCCTTTCTCTCTTACTCTTTCTCACTCTTCCTATCCTTCCATCTACTATAGACTTTCGTTCTTTCTCGAAGATATGAAGACCAAAATGATATGACCCCCGGTATGGTCGCAGTATACAAATGGGCTGACCTCGTATTCGCTACTTAGTCTTGTTGTCAGGGCGACTTAGTTAGGTGCACCTTGTCAGCGGAACGTCTGAGAATGTACCAAGTCCGCGGTCCCCTATGGCAGAAGACTTCGGACAATATGCGTCCAACTGGGTCCCCCTGATAACAAGACCAAGTTGCGAAAACGAGGTCAACCCACTTCCTACGCTCGTTCTCTCTGTCGCTCTCTGTCTTTCCCTCTCTTCTCTCTCTCTTTTTCTGCTATGATCGTTCGTGAGGATTGTCATTCACACTAATTTCTGGCTTATTTGATTTTGGCAGGTGCTCGTAATTGCCGCAAGGGAATGTATCTGTGGCCTCGTTATGAAGTACTTCAAAAAGATCGTGCAAAGAACTCGATGAGCACAAAGTTGTAGCTCTAAGCAAACGAGCAACACTTTAACGAGAAATGGAAATATGCAACATCGTTTTCACGAGAATTGCAATAGTAAAATATGATGTGTCTGGCTATGGTCTAGCGGGCTAAAGTATTCATAAAATCAGACATAAGCTCACTTTGTCCGATAGTCTCGAAGCCCTGTAACATGCTCCATGCGCTGTAGATGTTCTTTCCGCCAGTCCCATCGCCTGCTTGTCCATCGTAGCCAAGACGCCGACTCCCAGGGCCTCCGGAACTCCAGAGCCGCCAGCCCGAAGTGCCCTCGGTTTTGCCTGCATATCCCTTCTCCTCTCCCTCTCCCTCCTCTTCCCCCTCATCTCCCTCTGACTGCTCCAGTGAACGTACAGCAAACTCATAACGTGTGGTTGGCTGTAGGCCTTGCAGAAGTACATGCATTCGTCGACTGATTGCACCGCCACTGCCATCGTCCAGAGTGACAACATACTTTCTTCTGCCTGCCGACGTCTCGATGAGCCCACTTGAGAGAGCAGCTGGCCCGGCTGCGATTAGTTGGTCTCTTGGAACCACAGAAACGTTGATGATTGCCGGATTTTCGTTGCTGGGCAGTTGGTTCTGACGACGAGATACCTGGTCGCCGTTGGTCTTGAGCGCTGAGGGCAAGACGGACCGGGAGGATGACATCGAGGTGGAGAAGGAAGTTGTGGTCGGCGCAAGTGAAGGAGGGGAGGAGGCCGAGAGGGCGAGATCGTTGCCAGGTTGGCTGAGGGGGTCGGGCACTGCAGATGCATCCGTGACAGCGTAGTACTTGATCTGGAACCCGATGATGCGGGCAAACAGCGCCGAAAGGTCGCCATATGCGTCAGGACGGGTGCCGGAAGGCTGACCTAAAAACGGCAATTCCCAGCCCACACGGGCCCATTTAGCGTCCACTTTATCTGCAAGCAAATTCACTGGGATCGGTGGACCGTGACCGGCCTCCGCGGGCAGTTCTAAAGGGTTGTAAAAAAGCCATAAAATGGGGCAAAAGCATAATTTATATCTCGTTTGGGTTTAATGGAAAATGCCAGTGTTAACGGGTAGGACAAGCACGAAGCAATCAACCGTTAAGAGGGCAATTTTTGTTCAAAATGATAATTCGAGTTGCACAAGTACACGTTTGCCCAATCGACAACGGCACCACTGGCAGCAGTGAGTGCCTTGCCGAGTGATAATCTTGCCAGTGGACAGGAACGACTCGATTTCGACGACAAGGCTCAGGCGAGTTGGAAACAACGGTCCAGC